CCCGCAGCATGAACGGACCTGGGTGGGGACTTTGGCAAGTTCCAGGGACATAACACCGACCATCGGCCAATTTTCTTCCAGTGCTCAAGCAGGGAATTCTGGGAGCAGGAGTATATTGCATGCTTTTCACTCCAAGCAGCCCTGCTGGAAAATGCATGGCTAGGATGGAGGAGCAAGCTCCTTAACAAGCTCCAAATTGTTGCTGCTGCTCCAAGCCTGGGTTCTCCAAACGAGTACTGGAAGTCCAGTATTCCTTCCCTGCCCACTCAACCCATGGTCCCCTCTCACTCCAGGCACTGATTTCACTGGCCCCACGTGCACAAACCCTAAAATTTTAAATAATTAGAGCCATGTGGAGGCAAGACACAGTCACTGTTTCCCTATGCAACTGGCCTTGGAAAAGCCCACCCTCACAATTGGACTCCCTTTCTACCAGCACTCATGCAGGGAATCCCTGGAGTGGCAGCATACTGCATGATTTTCACTCCAAGCAGATTGGACTGGAAAATGCATGGCTGGGGTGGAGGAGCAGTCCTTAACAAGCTCCAACAAGCAGCTCCATTGCTGCTTCTCCAAGCCCAGCTCTGACTGCAGGCATGTGACTCTGAGGGCAGGATTTTCCAAGGCTGTTCATAGAGGGAAACAGAGATGAGTGGGATTGCCTCCCTGAGTGTCCAGTTCTAATTCTTTAAAATTTGGGGGGATTGTGTATGTGGACCGCTGAGGGAATCGGTGTCTGGAGCGAGAGGACAGCATGGGCTAACTGGATGGGGAAGGAGTACCAGACTTCCAGGGCTCATGTGGAGAACCCAGGCTTGGAACAGCAGCAACGGTTTGGAGATTGTTAAGGAGGACTACTCCTCAGCCCCAGCCATGCATTTTCCAGCCAGTCTGCTTGGAGTGAAAAGCATGCAATATGCTGCTGCTCCTGGGATTCCCTGCTTGAGCACTGGAAGAAAATTGGCCAATGGTCGGCTACAGCCAGAGCCAGGCGTGGAGCAGCAGCAGGCAGACTTTAGAGTGAACAATCTACTCCACAAGCTCCCAATGCCTGAACTGGTGAGCTGGAAGAGAGATTGTCCTTCATGCTGGTGAATACGTACAGACTGAGTGGGCTTTTTACTTCCTTCCTATCCTGATCCAGAGCAGGGCAGACAGCCCAATGGAGGTGGAAAACAGGGCAAAAGCGACCCTTCTCTCTCTTTTCCCCTAGCCTCATTTTGCCAGCCTGCGTCAGGTAGACTTGGTAGGCAGTAGCAATCTTTAGATGGGATTTTATTTTGCCAGCCCAATGGGGGGCCGGAGGGGGGGGCTGAGAATGGTACATAAGAAATCTGTCTCTGCAGCATCCATTGTGTGCCAGCGGACAGGCAATGAGGAGGCAACAGCAGGACATCAGACTAGGCCTCGGGAACTGCAGGGAAGGCAATGGAGAAGCTAGGCAAGCAGGGACTGCAGGGAAGGCAGTGTGGAAGGCAAGCAAGTGGGCCGGGCCTCAAGGATTGCAGGGAAGGCAGTGGGGAAGCAGGCAAGTGGGTTGAGACTCAGGCTGGGACTCAGGGACTGTGAGGAAGGCAGACAAGTGGGCTGGACTCGGCGACTACAGGGAAGGCAGAGGAGAAGGCAGGCAATTAGGCTGGGCTGCGGGTGCCACATGGGAGGTAGCTGGGCAAATAATGATATCCCAATCCTCTTCAAAGAAGCTGTTGAGCATGAACGGAAACGTCCAAATGCCATCTTATTTGGCCTAGAGGACATCAATCATAATGATGACATCACAACTGTATGAAACATCATCAATGATTATCAAGGATCAATCATCTCCCCTGATGAAATACTTGACATTTTCTGCATTGGCCGAGAGCTCAAAAACAGAGACGGCTCTGTGGCCCCAAGCTTCTGCAGGGTCATTTGCAAAAATGAATCAAGCAAATGTAAATTCATTTACACTATAAATTCACTCACCAAAAACGACACCAACCATAAGAACCTACATTGTCGCCCTGACCTAACCATACAGCAACGTGCCCGCTCCCGTGTACTCCACACTGAACTCAAAAAACATCTAGACAGTGGAGAGAAGGACCTGTACATTGACTACCATGCTGACTGTATCAAAAGTAAGTCACACAACCCGCAACTCAGCTTTAACCTTCAACCACAACCCTACCTCAACCAATCCACCATCACCCAAGACTAGGCACGCACACCCCTAACTACCTCAATTCCAACTACTGCTGGCATTAAATGCAAGCTACTCAATGCAAGAAGCCTTGTGAATAAAATACCTGAATTTGTCCTCTTACTAAATATGGCTAAATTTGACATCGTATTTGTCTGTGAAACATGGCTCAAAGCATCTCTCCCTGACTCCATTACCACAGTAAGAGACTATCATGTTTACTGATCAGATCATGAAATTCATAGATGAGGTGGTGTTGCTATCTTCTATAAAAAGTCCTTACATCTAAAAACCATCCAAGTTATCCAGGAGCTTGCTCTTCCTGAGGCCATCATCTGTGAACTATCCTTAAATATCACATTTCAATTCTTATTATGTTACAGAGCACCTGATTATGACATTGAACATGTAAACAAGCTAAATACACTACTAACATGGGCAGCATCCTGCCCACACGCTTTTATCTTTCTTGGTGACTTCAATCTACCTCATATTGACTGGACCCTCAGTGAATGTACAACTGAACCCATACACGCAACCTTCTACAGTGCTGTTACAAATCTGGGACTGGAACAACTAGTAACCAACAACACTAGACTAAACAACTGCCTCGATCTCATCTTCTGCAATCGTTTGAATTTAATTTACAGAATACAAACTAAAGAACCCTTTTCCAGCAGTGACCACAATATGATTGATTTTTGTCTCAACATACGCCCACACAAAAATAATCACAATGATGTAATCCCCAATTATAACTTCAAAAAAGGCAACTATGATCTTATAGACAACAATCTCTCATCCCTTGATTGGTAATCTCTATTCACTGGATGCAATACTGTGGAAGACCATTACAACATATTTTTACTTGAAGTCAAAAGAGTCATCAAACTATATGTACCAACAACAACTCCCAAAACAAAACAAAAAAAAACAGATTACCCATAACAATAAGGAAACTTCAATCCAAAAAGAGATCACCCTGGTGGAAAAACAAATCTGGTCACATTGCCAATTTCAAAAGCTGATACAAAAATGTAGGCCACCAGATAAAGACTGAATGCACCAATTATCACATTAAGTAAGAGGAAAACCTTCTATGCACCAATTCAACCTGCGCTTTTTACAATTTTGTAAACAACAAACTAAAAGACTCAAGGTCCATCCCACCCCGATAGGACCTAAAGGTAAAGACTGCAATGACGACACCATTAAAGCCAACATCTTTAACACATTCTTCAGCTCAGTATTTGTAAACAGCAATGGATCATGCCCAGTATTTCCTAGCCGAACCACAAACAACCACAATGATCTAATACATATCAGTTTTACAGAAGACAATGTTGAAAAAGCACTACACAATCTAAAACCATCTCTATCCATTGGACCGGATGGAATATGTGCCTACTTCTTAAAAAAGCTACCCACTGCCATAGCCGAACCTCTAAGCATAATCTTTGAAAAATCTTTCAGGACCAGCTCCTTGCCTAACCTATGGTCACTAGCCACGGTCATCTCCATCTTCAAAAAGGGAGACCTCAGCCTAGTTGAAAATTACAGACCAATCTCCTTATGCTGCGTCACCTGTAAAGTCATGGAATCAATTATTAACCAATCCATTATCCTCCACTTAGAGACAAACAACCTACTCTCCAATTAACAATTTGGTTTCAGGAAAAAAACTATCCTGTAATCTGCAACTCTGACACTGCAAAAACATATGGACTACAGAACTCGATCAGGGCAAAGCAATAGACGCAATCTACATAGACTTCTGTAAAGCCTTTGATTCAGTTGTACACGACAAACTACTCCTAAAACTAAAATATTATGGTATCTCTGGACAACTGCATAACTGAATAGAAGCATTCCTGTCAAACAGACAACAAATGGTCAAAATTGGCAGTGTCCTATCAAATTCTGTACCTGTCAATAGTGGTGTCCCCCAAGGCAGTGTTCTAGGACCAACTCTCTTCACACTCTACATAAATGACCGCTGACCACAGAGGTCATTAAGAGCAACTGCATTCTTTTTGCTAATGATGTAAAACTGTTCAATACCACAGACAATACTGCTACCCTTCAAAAAGTTCTTGACTATGTATCAGAATGGTCAAACAAATGGCAACTTCAAATCTCAACAAATAAATGCTGTCTTACATATTGGCAAGAAAATCAGAAAATAAAATACAAGCTGAATAGTCAAGATCTTGTTGATGATCCAAGCTCTGTAAAGGTTGTTGGAATACTCATCTCTAATGATCTAAGTGCTAGAGCCCACTGTAACTACATAGCCAAAAAGACATTAAGAGTTGTTAACCTAATCCTACGTAGCTTTATCTCTGGTAATATCACACTACTAACTACAGCATACAAAACATTTGCTAGACCAATACTCGAATGCAGCTCATCAGTCCGGAACCCACATTATGTATCTGATATTAGCACAGTTGAGAAAGTCCAGAAATCTTTCACAAGAAGAGTTCTCCACTCCTCTACTCATTGTAGAATACCTTATGCCACCAGATTCAAAATTCTAGACCTAGAAAACCTTGAATTACGCAGTCTTCAGTCTGATCTAAGTATAGTATATATAATCATACATTGCAATATCCTACCTGTCAATGAATACTTCAGCTTCAACCATAACAACGCAAGAGCACACAATAGATACAAACTCAAGGTTAACCACACCAAACTTGATTGCAGGAAATACGACTTCAGCAACAGCGTGGTCAATGTCTGGAATACTCTACCTGACTCTGTAGTTTCTTCCCCAAACCCCAAAAACTTTAACCTTAGACTGTCTACTATTGACCTCACCCCTTTCCTAAGAGGTCTGTAGGGGGCATGCAGAAGTGCAGCAACGTGCCTACCATCCCTGTCCTATTGTTTCTTTTATTTTTCTTATATGTACCCATTTCATGTATTCATAACTATCTATATACTTATACCTATTATCTTGTAAGCAATTGACAAATCAAATAAATAAATAAATAAAAATAAATAAGTGAAGGAAAACTCACCAGGCAGGGATCATCTGGGCTGCGTGGTTGAGGCAAAGGAACCAGAGAGCAGCCGCAGTAGCTATGCCTTGGGCGTTACTCTAGGCGAGTGGCTTAGGCAGGCAAGGCAAGATAAGGAGTGATGGGGTGGGGTGGGCGGGGATCAGCCAGTAGTGTGATTAGCTAGTTCTCTGAACTGCACAAAAATTTAACAACCAGTTCACCTGAACTGGTGTGAACTGGCTGAAGCCCACTGTATATATTTGTTACATACAACAGCATATAGTACAATCTAGCAGGATAACAATATTGTAATAAAGCACTACGATTCTTGCAAAAATGGCTTGTGAATTATGATAATCACTAAACTTTGTTTCTGGTTGTACAAAACTCAGTATGATTACATAGGATGTATAACCTGCATTTTATATACTTTCCTATAGAACTGAAACCTTGTGTGTATGGAATTTCAATTGTCATTTTATGTTAAAAGCAGATTGTTTACAAATGCATTAATCCACATTTCAACTCCCCCTCCTTCTCTCTGGCATATTCCAACTTGTAATGTAAATTCAAGGAAACCAGAGTCACATTAGGTTTATAGAAATGATCTAACTTTGTTAAAAAAAAGCTTGCATAAAATCTATAGCTAAGGAGTCCTTCAAACACATTTTCCTTTATCGGTAGATCCTTTTCTGTAATGATGTATATATGTGTGTTTTCATGCACAAAGGTGCAGAGGATTTTTCTGGATCCCAAAATTGTGGCTTGGTGTGGGTGGTTATTCTTGGTCACTGCCATCATCAATGCAGGCTTTAAATCACAGCTAACTTAATGCAACCCAGATACACATCAGACAGTCACCTGGTGCTAATTTTCATTGAATACTGCTCTTCTATAAGCGGCTACTTCCTTCTGATTCTCTTTTCTATATTTGGTGGCATTTTCAGGTTAAGAAGCCTGACATCTCTGCATGATGATGATGATGAGATGATGGTATCCATTCAGTCATGTCAGCTATTCTGTGGGACAGGTCTTTTCATGTCTTCCAATCTTTCACTGTTTTTTTGAGTTGTTCTGCATTCTCGCTGGTGTCAGCTTTGATAATGTCCAGCCACCGTGTCCTTTGGTAACCTGGTTTCCTTCTACCACTAACCCCAGCATAACTGCTTTCTCTGGTGAATTCCCTGGCATTACATGGCCAAAGTAAGTGAGATCCAGTTTTTATGATTTTTTTTCTTCTAATGGCATGTCTGCTGTCTCTGCATGAAATCAAAATAAAGCTGCACCCATCCTCTTTTAGAATCCCAGCTGAAAGACAGGAAAACCTTTCTGTTTTTATTGCTTACTCAAAGATTTTATTGGTCTGCTCATTATCTAGATTGGCAGGTTTAGTTTGTATTTATTAACTTCTCCTCTTTGGACCTCTGGGAATTTCTTTTCTCTGCATCTCTACAGCTTCCTTCTTTATACTCCTTCCTAGAACTTCAATCATCCTCAGAAATCTTAAGTGAGTAGAATATAGTATGGGTTCCTTTTCATATCTTTAACTCTAGGAATGAAAATCAAAGGTACAGGATGCTCTGTTCTCATTCTCTGCTGTCCGAACCATGAATCTTTTTCTAGAAGGATGGACCATCCAACTGTACTTCTGTAGATTTGTAAACCTCCTTCCCTTATCCACTATCCAAAGAACAGACAATGGTAAGAATGGACTTTGAAGGATGCAGGAAGTCAGGTAAAGAGAGAAAATGCAGAGGCATTTTTTCATTTCTATTTATTTCTCTCCCTCTCTCCCTCCCTCCTCTCTCACCTCTTTTTTCTTTCTTTTCCCTCTCTATTCTTTCTCTGTGCATATATATGCCATACCTATTGAGAATGACATCAACTTGCAAAATAGAAATTCGCTAATTCACTTGTGCATCCTTCTCTCTATTACAAGACCACCAGGTAACGTTAAAGCACACAAATCCTTTGGCTGATTATCATTCTTTTTGAGTGAGCTGTCAAAAGCCAGTGCTTTATTTGATATCACACAAAATAACATATCTTTAGGGGGAAGAAGCACTGTTTGCTACAACACTGCACTGAAAACTGAGTGGCAGCTATTGATTATATCAAAAGAATCTGTGGCTGTCTCTTGGTAAAAGCTACAGAAGGGCTGCATTGGTTAATTTATTGCCATTTAAGCTTTCCCTTGTTAATAAGGGATTTTCAAGAGTTCAGCATCCTTTCTAGGAATTAAAAAACTTTATCTCAATAGATGAGCTTGCAAATATTCCTGTTTATGTGCTCATGGGTATTCACATGGACTTTCTTAGTTGAGACCTTAAGGATTATCCATATGTGTGAGCCAGACTATTATTATTTTTCTTTGTTGACCTTTTCATCCACCGGATAGCATGGAGAGACTTCAAGGTGAACATGACAACTGTTGTGGTTATCACTGCAGTTGCCCATGTGAACCCTTCCCAGTTTATAGACAATCATTTATGGGGAAAAAAATAACCTGCTGATGTGTATGAATAGGCCTGAACTCTGCCACCCTTGAGACACTCTGAGCTTGTTTTCTTTCAAACATTTCATTACCCAATTAGGTAACATCATCAGTGCTAGAAGGGAGGGAGTTTCCTCTCTGTTTATAGTTCTAATCAAAGAACTACCAAGGACATTCCCACCAAAACTTATAGAGTAAGCCACTTGTATGTAACTCCTTTTTAGCATTGATGATGTTATCTAGTTGGGTAAAGGAATGTCTGCAAGAAACAACTAAGGTCAGTGATCACCAAATGCCCTGCAGATTAAAGTGAACATCAGGGTTACAAAGTAAGGAAACAGCTAATGTTCAAGTTGAAGTCTCTCCTCAAATAAAAAGTTATATTGTAGAATTATCTCCAAGCATAATCAGATATATTTGTAGTAATTACTTTTGACCTCCCTCTCATGTCCATGATTGCACAAGCAACATATGCTAGGCTTAGCCAAGATATTATGGAGGATATAAAGTAGTCAAACTATCAACAAAGTTCCATTGTTGCAACAGAACAAAATATGTCAAAGAACTGATGACTTTCCCATGGTTAAAAGTGAATGTTTCTCACTCTCCAGATAAATCCTTTTAATATTATTGTCCATTCTTATGTTCCATTACTAAAAGGACGCTGCCAGTGTCTACCACCTTCATAATTGAAAGTGATTTTGAAATCACCAGCAAGATTTTTGGAATTGTCCCCCATCAAAGTGATTAATGAAAGGTAGTTTGTGGCATTGATTTGTATATCAATGCCCCAAACCAGGAGATTGAATTCTAATCTGGCCTTAGGCATGTAACCAGCTGGTTGTCAACTCATAAAGCATTCCTATGCCTATTTTCGAATTGCCAAAAGCAGGAGGGGGGGGGGAATATGAAGGAGCAGTATGGCAATTAAAACCAGAAGTACATTCCATGCTTTTCTTACAAAGATTGTAGCCTAGGCTACTGAATCTTCTGCCCACAAAAATCCTTCATTGGAGAGTGTGATTGATGACACCCAGCCCATGAACGAGCTTTGTTGTAGAATCTGATTTATGACACACCCAAAGAGGAGCGGGAAAACAGGGTCTCAGGTGACTGTAAATTACATGTGGCAGAGTTGGCTTCATATGGGTCAATGCCGACATGTTACTCCTAATAAATCTTTTGATTAAGGGCAATCGTTGGAACCCTGGGTGACTTTGGATTCTCTCAATCCTAGGAAGAAGGCGGCAAGAACAAACCACTTCTGAAATCGTGCTAAGAAAACTGCAGGCGGTAGTCAATACTGATGCAAAGTTTTCATTAGTTCTCATAACTAATCTTAGTTATCCTTTTATCCATGGTGACACAATGGTTAGAATGCCGTATTTATTGCAGGCTAACTCTATATCCCCGTTACCAGGAGTTCGATCCTGATCGGCTGAAGGTTGACTCAGCCTTCTATCTTTCTGAAGTTCATAAAATGAGGACCTAAATTGTTGGGGGCAATATGCTGACTCTGTAAACAGCTTAGAGAGGTCTGTAAAGCACTATGAAGCAGTATATAAGTTTAAGTGCTATTGCTATTATCAGAATTGATCACGAGTTTTTATTTATTTTGCCTGCATTCCCAATATCATTGCACAGTTGATGATCATTCTGAATAATTAAAAATGTTTATATTTTGTATAATGGTGTACCAACCTAAGTGCTATATATTGAAACCTCTTAGATATTTCTATATAACATTTCTGAAATGGCTTACTTTAACTCCATTTCTGAGATTGCTCCTACATATAGAATAAAGAAATTTCCTTTGTCAAATCTGATTCTACAATTCATTTTCCATTTCAGGATTAACAAAATATTCCCTTTAGAGGAACCACTCCTTACTTTTTGATGCTTGTTCTTTGATTTTGTTTAGAGCATTATCTTTTTATTTCATTTTATTTGTTTGATGAGAGATGTTGTTTTTAAGTGTTTCATCTTGGCTGGCCTGGGATTGTAGATTAGATGTTAAACACCACACACAGTATGCAGAGCCTAGAGAAATGGTTTTTAGGAGTTCGAACAAAGACCAGTTTTCAAAAGTAAAAAGCTTCTGATCACTGATGCATATAAAAGCTATTTTATGGTGTCTCAATATGATAAAAAATAATTTTTGAAAAAGAGTTACACTGCATTGTGTTACAGGGTAATTGTACAAGTTCTGAAAATAAAATGTGTGGGTTTTTTAAAATTTTTCTGTTTGCTCAGTGTATAAACCTTGGATATTTGCTGTTTATTTCATTTATTTATTTATAAAAAATTATACGGCTGCCCAACTCCCTCTC